GACACGCTGACGAGCATGGCCAACCTCGCGTCGACGTACCGCAACCAGGGGCGATGGGGCGAGGCGGAGCAGCTGGAGGTGCGGGTGATGGAGACTTCGAAGACGGTGCTTGGGGCGGAGCATCCCTACACGCTGACGAGCATGGCCAACTTGGCGGGGACCTACACTGATCAGAAACGCTGGACAGAAGCAGAAGAGCTTCTCCTGCCAGCAGTAGATGCGTATCAACGAGTCCTTGGCATATCTCATCCCGACACCGAGCGCACTGTACACCAGCTGCACGATCTCAGACAAGCAAGACTAGAGCAGACATCGACCAATATTACTCAACCTGACGGGGATCCAAGTAGCCGGAGTCAGAGAATCGTAGAAGCCTCCTTCGACCCTAGTGCAGCCGGAAGGAAAGTTGGTCGCAGGTCACGATAGAAACGGATATTGCACTTCGACTAAAAAAAGGCCGCTAAGAAGTAATTAGGGAGTGGTGTCTTACCTTTGTTACGTATATGCTGCATATGGAAAGCGATAGACTTTATCTTTCTCTGTTTTGATATTGTATCATTTGTCGCCTACGAGCGGTCGCTACACCTGTCGGAAGTGAAGCCTATTGCGTCATTTGTACACCAGCGAGTTTAGAGGGCGCCACAGATGTACAGACGCGTCCTACGATGATCTTGGCCGAAATCGCGGTATATATGCGTAAACCAGTCATACCTTTTCAGGCGCCATATCGCGACGACCCTTGCAGATTCGGCGGTGCAGGCGTGCGGAATAGACTCAGCGGGAGACTAGGTTGCACTCAGCGGGAGACTAGGCTGCACTCTGCGTGTTACTAATGCATGAAATGCTAAATTCGTCGAGATCGTCTCGATCACATAGTCGAGTTCTGGGTTGTACGCCAGCTGCGATTCCGGCACGCAGGGCTTCCGGCACATAGGGATGGGGGTTATCGCTACGCGGCTTGAACGGTGAAGGCGCCGCCGGGCCTACGATAGAAGCGATGCTATACATGGAGCCTACGAGCGCGATATACAGGGGCCCCTTTGCTAGCGGCACCATCTTCGCGGTAGTGAGAGACGAGCCCGCAAATGAACCGGCTGCTATCGCGCGTAGGCGACGATGAGCGCTGCAGAGGAATCCGCCAAGGCGGCGAGGAAGACGGCCCTAGTCGACGGGGTGGAATGCAGCTTCCCGAAGGAGAGCTGGAAGGCGCACTTCGTCAGGAGATGGGTGCTGGCGTATTAGCCCACATCAACTGCGGCGGCGCGGCGAGGCCTCGAGTCCAGCAGCATTCGGGGGCGCGCTCCTCGAGGGAGGAAAAACAGAACCGTCGATTCGCAAAAGACTCACCCAGCGAGTCGAACTGCGCCGTGAATGCCCACGGTCGTGAGCATAAACCGCCAGAAGGATAGGGACTGCTCATCGTTAGTTGGGGGCGTATCGCTAATCGTGGTGATCCGACTCGGGGGCGAGGGTCTTGGATCCCTAGGGTTGCATAGGCGACAGGGTTTGTTGCGTTGTGAATCTCCCTCTATGGTTTGTATGGTAGTGAGTCGGGGATGCACAGACTACGCGTGTTAATAGAGTATTTGAACCATGTGTAGACCTGGAAATGTGCCGGTCGAAGCATTAACGAGATGAGGCGCGCCGTGCGTTTGATCTCGAGTGTGCGCAGGAGTAGGCTTTGTGTACTGTCCATATACATATATATGTACATATGCAAGGCGGGTACCGACAGTGCGTGTGCGCACAATAGGGTAGATGTCCTCGCAGACCTTGTCGGTCCTCGTCTTGGGCAGCTCGGCGGGGATTTCAAAGGTTCTCGGCATCATGAAACGCGACCCGCCCGCCTGGGTACGTACCTATTCCATCAGCGAGGGACCGTGATGCCGTCTTCCGTCGCCGCCGCCGTCGCCGCCGCCGTCGCCGTTGCCTCTTCTCATGATAGTAACGGAGGTGGTGGTGGTGGTTGACGGCTCCGGAGCTTGACGTACGCCTTGGGGACTGCGCCGTAGATGGTATGCGTGACAACATCGCAGGCGACCTCGAGGATGGCGGGGTGGCGGGTGAGGGCGGTCTCGAGGGCGACCGAGGAGACGTCTTCGCCGCCGAAGACGATGAAGTCTTTCTTGTGGTCGAGGATCTGTACAGATCCGTCGGGGTGCTGCCCGGCGAGGTCGCCGGAGTAGAGGACGCCGCCGCGGAACAGCTTCGCGGTGGCTGCGGGGTCCTTGTGGTAGCCCGGGATGCAGATGTTGCCTGTTTGGAACAGACTTCTCCGACGCCGAGGATGCGGCCGTCCAGGCTCGGTCTCATCACTAGAACGAGCAACGAAGAGAGGAAGCCACAACCATGATGTGCCATGTGACTGTACCTCTCTGCGACCGGCGGGTCCTTCCATGCTGGCAGTTGATGATCCGTGGCGATGGGGTCGTAAGTCTCGTTCATTCCAGAGACGTAGACAGTGGACAGGCGTGGTCTTGATCGGAAGATCAGCGCACGCTCTGCTCGTGGGATGTGAATGTGGAAACTCTCACAGCTGAGTTGCGAGGCGCTCGCATTCGCGCACTACAATGTGTTCACGGTCGGGGCAGCATTATAGTGACTGGTGAATTCTGTCTGAAGAAGCTGCCAGATGTGCTTGTGATCGATCTTTCGCAAGCATTAATGCGTGCCGCGCACGGCGTTGACGGTACAGGGAACTCGTCCACTCCGTGGCATGGGACATCTATTTACTGGTAGTCAGCCATCTGCCGGCGGCTCCACTCACGGCGCATCCTTGGGATCTACCGGCAGCGTCCAAAGATATCACAGCGATCCGCAACGATCGGCACCAGGCAAAGCACTGTGTGAACTGCACACCTTTCGGAGGTGTCGTCGTCCCAGAGCTGTAGGCCAGAGCAACTACGTCGTGCTCGTCCTCGACGCCCGCCTGCGGATAGGCTCGAGAGCCATACTTTCAATCGTAGGTGCAACCCCGTTCGCTCGTCCTATCGAATGGAGGACTTGCTTCCGCGGCACTAGCGTCAGCTTCCTCGAGGAGCAGAATGTGCGGACTATCCTGGCGGAAAACAACATGCATAAGCGGAATGAACCCTCGATCCACGACGACGCAGTCGACGCCGGCATGGGTCAAGATGTAGTCTCCATCTTTTGGAGGGAGACGATGGTTCACAGCGACGCTGACGCCTCCTGCGGCGAAGATGGCGAAGATGGAGGCGGCAGTCATTGGAGTTGTGTTATATATGTGTCACGCTCTTCGGCACAAAAAGACAAGGTCGTGTCGTCCGGTTGTCCGCTATCCATGGATGCCTTGCCAAAAAGAGACTCGCCGGCATGTGCTGTACGTGAACGTTGTATAGGGCTCGCAAAGCTGAAGCGACGCAATATTGCGCTCCGGCTTTTTTCTGTACACGGAGATGCCATTCTTAGGACGCCGCTTGTCGCAAAGTTTAGTATCCTGATCCGTCCCTCTATTGCAAACCTGTTCTCTTGGTCCTTGGGCTAATGTAAGTTCTGGGATCGGAGTTCTGCCTGGTCTTCCTTACAGTCGCCGCAGCAACGCGACTGTAGACCTCCAGGGCTCGATAGCTTCCGTGGTCGGTCCCCATACTTCACACTTCCATCACGGAATGGATCGCGCCCCTTCCGCGGAGTTTTCGCATCTCTGCCTCGTGGTTGCCGGAGATGCGCCCTAACCCTGCCCGCCGATCACACCCAATTCTACCACTCTCTATCGCTTCTGCCGAGCCAAGGGCCAGTACGGAACCACAACGCCGCCGTCGCAGCGGGACAAATCCAGCCATGTGCTGAAGCGACGAAAAGAGAAGTGGCTTGCGCCCGCAAGCGTGAAAAGAACTGGCAGGAGAGAAGATGTAGGGAGCAACCTCGATGTCGATCGAACGCGAAGTGCGCTGGACATACTCTGTCCACGAGTGATTACCGTATCTATTGAAGTCTCTCCGGCGGCCGTTCCCCCCCTCCTTCAGCTGCGCGAGGCGTAGGCGGCGTGTCGATCGCACCCGCCGAGACTGCACACCGTCAGCGACTGCATACTCTGTATCTGTAGGCAGATGCCGTGACAGCCCTACATTGCATGTCGCTAAAATCCAATCCCTAGACTTGTTGTGCTCTATAGTGGTGCTGAATAAAGCAGGCCGTAGGATACCTTGACAGGCTTCCGGAATCCTGTCTGTACATGTGCGCGAAGTTGAAGTTGAAGAAGGACGAGGAGTTGAAGGAGGAGAAAGAGCAGGAGCAGGAGCAGGAGCAGGAGCATGAGTGAGAGCAAAAGAGGGCCGATGACCCCAACGAGATAGAAGCCGCGGCGGCCTTCACACGCACCGTCTAGAGACGTCCGTTCTAAACGGCCGCCCTCCTACGTGCGGTCAAGGACACACAATCCTCTGCTCCTCACTCATTCGCCTCCGAATAGGCAGACGATGAGGATCGCTTTCCCGCGGCTCATCATCATCATCATCATCATCCGATGGCCCGGGTCGCGCTGCGTCGTTGCGTGGAAGCAGAAGCGATCACCAGTCGGGGGATCGGAGCAGGTCGGGGGGGCTGACTCGACTCAGGGCAGAGTAGAGTGAGGAATGGTGGTAGGGGTTCGTGGACGACTTCAACGCATGAGTGGCGGGCAAGGCGGTCGAAGAGAACACCCAGAGGATCCAGAACACCATTATCCCCCAAGGCGGAGCAATGGGCAAGAGAGAGTGGCGCGACCTTTGAGGCGGGAAAGACAGGCTTTACCCGCTTTTAGACGCCCACAGATGCCCGAGGGAGGAGCGGACAGCCTACAGACAGTCTCACGTTCAGCAGCACGGACGTCAAATCGCAGGACTTCTTAGCTAAAGCGCTGGGAGTGACGCCCGATAGCCAACTCGACATAACGACGCACGTCTCGAAAATCACGGCCAAAACGCTGGGACGGTGCACTGCACTGACGGCGGTGAAGGGCCTCCGGCCGAAGCAGATGCGTCAGCTATATCAGGCATGCGTGCTACCGGGGCTCGACTACGCAGTGTCGACCTGGTTCTATCCAGGGAAACGCGGCACGATCGAACGCGCCTAACAGCTTGACAGAGTACAGAAGGTGGGAGCCCAGCTCATCCTTCGCGCCTTCCAGACTGCGGCAGGCAGGTGCTCGAAGCCGAAGCGTGTTTGGAGCCGACATACACTAGGCTCGAGAGAAAGGTCACGACTCAAGTAGTAAAAGTCCTCGTACTAGAAGCAGACAATCCCGCGAGGACGGCCGCCCGATAGGCTATCCAAAGCCCATGCCGCCTGACGCCATTCCGATGCCCGATACGAAAGTACAGCATACTCCAAACTCTGAGCCGTGAGCCGATTGAGACGGATCCGGCATAGGTGCAGCCTCCGTGGTAGGACCTCAGCCAGATCGCTCTGATCGAGCCACGGGACGACGCGAAACGCGCATACGAGGACCGATGTACTACAGACAAACGAGCGTTGTTTACAGACGCTTCGGTAAGTGACGTACAGGAAAAGCTGAAGGGAGATTATTTCTTTGAGAATCAAGATAGTAATCTAGTGAGCAATGCTACTAATAGCTAGTCTTTTCAATCCTCGGTATCATCCTCAGTAGTGCCCAGATGGTCAGCCTGCGCTTCTAAATATGCACAATCGATCTCAAAGGCTAGTAGTGACCCATCGGTACAGCCGACCGCAATACGGTCGTCTTGTACGGCGAATTCAGACATATCATATCCTTGTAGACACAAAACCATCAAATCCTGATAAAAAATCCCACCCTTACGAAATGTAAGAATACTCAAAGCGGGCTTCAAATTGCGGTTGATCTCTTCGGCCCTGCTTAGCCTCACTAATCCGAGATTCGTAATAAGGGAGAGTCCACGAGTCGAGTAGTAGATTCGCTTAACAACACCGGCTGTATCGACAACTTCCAAAGCTGTAGTGCGCCTATAGTCTCGAGATCTAACAATCCCGTTGACGTTGTGCCGTAGATTCCGTAGTTTGCTCTTCTAGTCAGGCGTAGTTTGTGTTGGTCCTTGCGACAATTCTGGATTCACAGCCCACACTCGTACCGTCTCGTCCCACGAGCCCGATACGATCTGCCTGCCGTCCGGCGAGAACGCTACGGCCGTAACCACACCTAAGTGGCCGGTCAGCGTCTTCCGATGCTAGCCCGTCGCCGCATCCCACACTCGCACCGTCGTGTCTTCCGAGCCCGATACGATCTGCCTGCCGTCCGGCGAGAACGCTACGGCCGTGACCAGTTCTGAGTGGCCGGTCAGCGTCTTCCGATGCTGGCCCGTCGCCGCATCCCACACTCGCACCGTCTTGTCCTGCGAGCCCGATGCGATCTGCCTGCCGTCCGGCGAGAACGCCACGGCCATAACATAGCCCGAGTGGCCGGTCAGCGTCTTCCGATGCTCGCCCGTCGCCGCATCCCACATTCGAACCGTCTCGTCCCACGAGCCCGATGCGATCTGGCTGCCGTCCGGCGAGAACGCCACGGCCGCGACAGGGATCGAGTGGCCGGTCAGCGTCTTCCAATGCTCGCCCGTCGCCGCATCCCACACTCGAACCGTCTTGTCCCACGAGCCCGATGCGATCTGGCTGCCGTCCGGCGAGAACGCCACCGCCCTGACCCAGCTCGAGTGGCCGGTCAACGTCTGTAACAGCGGCGACCAAGCTTCCTCTATCCGAGGCACTTGCACTAACCACGCTGGTCTCTTCGCGGTATTGCTTCTTTTGATAATACTGGATTCGGGAGAAAACACAAGCGCAGCGCCGTACGCTTCGAGAGGCGATGTCGAAATTGCCTGGAAATGTCGTAGCAGTACTCGAAGACTATCTAGGGCAAGCGGCAAGAGTCGCCCATCGTATTCGGGCTTTCTGCTTCGTTAGTAGGAAGTCCTTCAATGATACAGGACTTTGTAACATACCTGCAGTTCTTTGGCCGGCTTACATATGAGCCTCAATGTCTCTGCGCCACTTTTCAAATTCCCTAGCCAACTCAAACATTCCAGCCACTCGAGGAACCTGCTAGACAGGAAATCTGCCGTTGCACTGCGCACTTCAGGGATGATGCCTTTGTCTGACGTATCAGTATTGCACGAGTGCTGTGCCCAGAATGATGCGGCATATTCGAGCTCTAGAGCAGGGCCGTCGATCTTGCTCCGAGTTATTGCTTGCGCTGTGGTGGACGATGTTTGCGGCCACGGTAGATCTAATAGATTGACCTTCAATCGGCTGCGTAAGAGTCTTAGCGCGCTAAGAGCAATATGTCGGTGTCCATACGACCCGAGGGCGTCGTTGGACGGGTCTGCCCTAGCCAACAGGAAGTAATCTCGTGCGGATTGATGTACGAATTCGACCTTCTGATCCTGCATTCGAACAAAGGAGGTGCACCGCCCGATAGTCGCGTGATTAATCATGTCCGCATAAGGAAGCCCAGCTATGCCGTTGATCTCTTGCAAGGTCAAAGGCCGAAAGGCGAGGGCCATGACTTTAAGAAGCCGTCTACACTTCCCTGTAGAATCCTCACGACGAATCTCGTTCAACGCTTTGAGATACACGGCATCCAGCCTATTGGCTAATCGTTCGATGGTTTGGAATGCGTGACTAGCAGGCACGGCTTCGAGCTGCTTGCACACCAGACTGACCCAGAGGAAAGTACCTTCCGCTTTCGCCGACAAGCGAGCTTGTAAACGCTCTCGAAGATCCGTCCCATAGTCATGCATACGATTGAGTTTATTAAGCTTCTGGACGATGTAACTGTCCACCGCGGTGGCTACACGAGCGGACTCAAGATCCAGACTGAGTTGCAACTGCTCATGGCTAGCGAGCAGCATTCGGTCGGCTTCTGCTAACGGTCGGCTCGTGAGCAACCACTTCATCTTGGACGGCGAGTCTAGTCCGTTCCGCACGATTAGCCGCAGCAAATCCGACATTCCCGCCTTCGTGCATTCGTCCAACGCATCGACCACAATGTAAATGCGACAGTGACACTTATTCATCATAGCTTCAAACATGTCCCAAAGCTCGCGCAATGGTGCGATCTTGGCGAACGGTCGCTGGTGTTCGTCATCCCATAGCTCTCGCAAGACTGGTCGGGTCTCCTCTCGTGCTTCGTAGAGGCGCAGTATCAGTCCTTTGAGAATGGCTTCCACCGTGTTCAGTCGGTAGTCGGCATTTTGACAAAAGAAGTACGTTACCACCGAGGAGCCATGATCTGATACTTTCGACAAGATGATCAGTTGTTCGATCAGGCCGATACTCATCATAGTCTTTCCTTTGCCGGCGCCGCCACGGACCCATAGCAGACAAATTTCATTCCCAGTCAACTATTGCTGATATCTCGAGTCCTGGAGCACCCATGTGATCGCCTCTTGCACCAATTTGTCCTTGCTTTCCTTCAAGCGGCTCTTGGTCTTGAAAGGATCCGGGGGACATTGGAGCGCTGTAAGACACAGCTGATGTATCTCGTCGGCAGAATGGATGTTGCCACTGTGCGCAATCGTCAGCCGCAACCACGTATAACATGTCGCAGATGTGTGTACAGGTGAATAGATTGGCCGCTATGGATTGTCTGCTGGCCTGTCTGGTTGACAATGCGGCTAGCGGAATTGGACACGTTTAAGCGGCCAAGCGCAGCGACCGCGTCGTCGTCGCTCATGATTTTGTGCCGCTAAGGTCGTGTAGAAATGTCGCTAAATCCGAGGAGATGTTGCAAACTTGCCCGCTATTAGGACAAGCGATCCATCTGATATGTACGTATAATAGAATAAAACAGAAGTAGACCTGCCTCTTCGGTGGATGTCGTTGTAGGTGTGTATGTCTGGAATAATTGCGGGAAGCGTTCCAAGAGACTTTGCGCCCGCTTAGCAGCGCTGTCCCCTCCACCCCGCGTGGTCGTAGTCTACTATGGCTGGATTTCGTTCTGTAATCTCCGCCTCTAGGGCAGCGCGGGCCAAATCGTTATAGCTACAGAACGTGTGCGAAAGTTTGCAGCGCCCTCTAATATTAGAAAGATTCGGGCAAGCCCGACTGGTGCAAAATTGTTAGTACCTATGCCGTATATGCTTCGAACCCGTTTGGTAGCAAAGTGAATTAGGCCTGCCGAAATCGCAGATTGCCGAACATGACCTCATGCTTTTCCGCGCGCACCTAGCTGAATGTGCCTTTTGTTCGGCGAATCCGCGAATCTCGGCTCTGCGATTGGTCGGGCTGTACATGATGGCTGAGTCGTTGTAGGCGGGCTCGCTCAGCTGGAGGCGCCGTTTATAGTGTAAGGCCACTCGTGCATGCCCCCCGTATGTTGAATGCTGCGCCACCACCTACAGCAGCGCCTCTAGCTGCCAACTCACCTACACAGCCAGCCTCGGCATTCTCGAGCACGCAACGGTGCTGTAGGAGAACGTGTACAACACGGACGAGACGGGTGTGATGTTGCGCGTGCTCAGGTTGCTGAAAGTCCTAGTTGATTGTTCCTCCGAAATGCGAGCGAGGCCGACCCGTCCGCCCTGCCCGTCACGGCTTCGACGCACGCGCCCGGTCCCCTCGCGGGCCGTTTGGTAACCGCGCTGTCGCCAACGGTCCAGGTCGGGCAAGGAACGTCCAAACCTGCCTCCCTGCACGCCCGTCCGACCCGATTCGCCGACGATCGGATGGGAACGGCGGCGCGGTCGCCATAGCAAAGTTGGTCGGAAAGAGTTTAAGTTGTGATAGGGAGTGTTTAAGGGGGATCGGGGCCGGTCGGGGGTTCTGACTCAACTGAGAGCGGAGCCAAGTGAAGCATAGTAGTGAGGAAGCAAGGAACCTTGCAGATAGGCACTAATGCGCGTGACCAGAAATCGCGCGGGTGCCTGGTGATATATACTGTACAAACAAACCAGTCCCTGATGAGCCTTCACGACGAAAAAGCTTTGTCGGAACAACACCCGAAGCTTTAGGACTCTTGTACTCATCAGTTTTTCATTTACCTTTCTTCCGCGTTCATCTCATTACTCTTAACCCTAACCCTCATCAATTCATGAAGAGGAAGGCTGGCTCTGCAGCCCCACCGCTTCGAGTTGTAGACGAAGCTGAGATTGCCGGTCTATGCAGATAACTCTAGGGCACGAGCATAGTACGTCACTCTAGGTCTCTTACACCTACACGCTCCAAATGGCGACCAAGACTTTGTCGCACGACGACTACACAGTAGCATGGATCTCTCCTATCGAGGTCGAGCAGGTCGCTGCTATAGCAATGCTAGACGTTGAACACCCGCGTCTTACACAATCTTTAGTCGACTACAATGCTTACCAGCTTGGAAACATTGCGGGTCACAATGTCGTAATCGCTAGTCTGGACTCGGCAGGCAATGCCTCAGCCGCTACTGTTATCACTCAGATGCGGAACACGTTCAAACAGCTCCGATTTGGGCTTCTTGTCGGCATAGGAGGCGGCGTACCGATCAAGACCAGTGAAGGCTGGATCAGGCTCGGGCATGTCATAGTTAGCAAGCCTACTGGCACAGATTCTGGCGTCATCCAGTACGATTATGGCAAAGCACAAGCGAACGGAGTATTCGAACGGACAGGATCCCTTGCGCCTCCGCCCAAAGTGCTGCTTAACGCAGCACAGCTGATGTCCGCTAAGCGAAAGCATTTTGTCGAGGATCCACTCAAGGCAAATCTCCAGCTCATCAATACCTCGCTTCGCGACCTCCGGAAGTACAAGCATCCAGGCCCCGATAAAGATCATCTGTACCGAGCCGACTATCTTCACGCCGACAAAACTTTGTTATGTCAGAAATGCAGCTGCGAGCCCAGCATGCGAGTCGATCGCGGAGCAAATAACGATGACAGCGACGAAGAGGATGAAGATGATTTCGATCGTTTCGTCGTGCATCGTGGCAATATCGCGGCGGGAGAGAAAGTACTACGTAATAGTGTTGAGCGAGATGCACTTGCCAAAACAAACAATGTCATCTGCTTTGAGATGGAAGCTGCGGGTGCAACCAACGATTTCCCATGCCTCGTGATCCGTGGTGTGTCGGATTACTGCGACTCCCACAAGAACGACAAGTGGCATGGATATGCTGCGGCGACTGCGGCCGCGTACGCTCGAGAGCTCTTCAAGTACATGCCCGTAGATGAGGTCCGGCAGTGCGGCGTAGCTGAGCCTTACGATCCGGCCTTGAAGGAAGCTATACAAAGACTAGAAGCGAACAAGGCAAGTAATACCTGGAACAATTACGACAATACTCAGGTCATGAATCAAGTTACCGGCAATCAAACGTTTACCGGCGGGCAAAATTTCTCCTTCTAATTAGTTGATATTAACACGTGCGAGGAGTCTGTTAAGCGTCGACCTGTATTATACCAAAAGGTCGGTACGAGATGTCCCTATACATCTGCTATACTTTTCTACTAAGCTAAGATAACAATCCGATACATTATCTATCGACGCGTACATACTAAATAATAACTTGAATTAAACATTGAAAAGGTAAATGCTATTTAGGTAGTAAACGTAGCTAAAGTACGTATTAATGTATACATTGTTGTTGATTTTCTTCTAGACAAGTAAATACATGTACTAGTTAGAGGGAAGGCTTTTTACTCAAGTACTGTAGTAAAGCGGTAGTAACAGCTATATAAGGTTACTCTTATAGAAGGAGTAACGTAAATGATTATCGAGCCGGCCATATCATCGAGCCGGCCACTTTTCCTTGGCATTGTAAACAACATCTTTCCTTTACAATATCTCAACAATAAGACATGTTATCAGATAATCAAGAAGGCAGAATCGAGCTTGCTATCAATGCCTATAGATCTGGTCATTTTCGGAGCCAACGAAGCGCAGCTGCAGCTTTTAATGTCCATCATCAGAAACTCTCTACTAGACTTACAGGAACCAGCTCTCGCGCGACTATAGTACCAAATCGTTAGAACCTGACGCCAACAGAAGAGGGGACGCTTGAGCAATATATCCTTGACCTTGACTCGCGAGGATTTGCGCCCCTACTATCTGAAGTAGCAGATATGGCCAACAAACTGCTAGCTATACGAGGAGAAGGGCCAGTCGGCAAATGCTGGCCTAAGAGGTTTGTTACACGTTCAGAGAAGCTAAAGATGGCATTCAGTCGAGCAAAGGATCGTCAGAGAGTCCTCCAAGAAGACCCAGAGGTTATCAACGCGTGGTTGAAGCTAGTTGTGGACACAAAAGCCAAGTATAGTGTCCATGATGATGATATTCACAACTTCGATGAAACAGGCTTCCAGATAGGTATTATTGGAACAATGAAAGTTGTTACAGGTTCAGACAGACGAAAAAGACCGACACTAGTTCAACCAGGTAATCGCGAATAGGTAACAGTGATACAGAGCATTTGCGCCGCAGGCTATGCAATCCCACCCTTTATCATCTACAAAGGGCGCGTCCACATCTCTGCGTGGTATGGAGAGGCTGATATCCCTTCAGATTGGAGGATCTCGGTCTCTAAGAACGGCTGGACCAATAACGACCTTGGTTTAGAGTGGTTAAAGCATTTTGACACGTATACAAAGACGCGTTAAGTGGCAGGGTATAGGCTACTCATTCTCGACGGCTATGAGAGCCATTTGAACCAAGGTTTCAAGGACTATTGCCTCGAGAACAAGATTCTTACCTTGTGTATGCCTTCACATTCGTCTCACATCCTTCAGCCTCTCGACGTAGTATGTTTCTTACCGCTAAAGAGCAGATACTCTGAGCGTGTCAGAGGCTTGGCACGGAATCGCGTCTTCTATATCAACAAAGAGAACTTCCTTCCAGCCTTTAAGGACGCGTTTTTCGACGTGTTTACGAAAGAGAACTGTCGAAAGGCCTTTGAGGCAACAGCGATAGTCCGTACAGACGCGCAAACAGTCATTAATCGTCTTGATCTACTGTTACGGGTCAACTGCCAAAGGCGGTTTACTCGAGGTGGCTTCTTGAGAATAAGTGGTGCAACAGGGATATGAGAAGGGGCTTTGTATTCCAATGGGTAAGTTGGTAACATGAGTTCAACACGAACAGACATAAGGTCCATTCGTCCTACCTATATATGTAAGTTAGATACAAAGGGAATATGTAGTTGCTCTGTTGCTCTGTGCTTGGATCCTCAGATCTTACAGAGCAGATGCTCTGCTGCTCTGCACCTTGATCCTTCAGATCACAGAGCACCCTCTCTGCCTTAGGCACTAGTCACGTGACGGTTTGACGCTCGTGGCCGTATGTCCTTGTCCTCTAACGACTGGCTGTCGTCGTTCCCTTCTGTCTTCTGCTGTGCCGTGTCACGGGATCGTAACACTACCCTCCTCTTCTACTTTCGAAGTTCCATCGAGAAGTATGTCGCTTTCTGCTTCCTTCCTTTAACGTCGTTATGCCGAAACAACCGAGGTTGAGCAGCACTGATCGTCGCAAGGAACTCGCAGACAAAATCGACCTGGTTGGCTCCGAAATGCCTGTCGCTTGTTCTGAATGCCGGAAGCACAAACGCACCTGTCTGGTGCACACAAGCAGCGGTCGCTGCAACCACTGCAATCGTCACAACTCGGTTTGCGACGTCCGGGTCACTGAAGCGGAGTGGTCGAAGCTGAAATCCGCTCGGGAGGTGTTGTTGTCTCGCCTTGCCGAAGCTCGGGAGGCTACGTCCCTGGCCATCGCTAAGGAGCAGCGTTTGATGAAGCAGTTGGCCCTCGTGGATCGTCGGGCCGCTACTGCGATTTCGGTAGGGGAGCGCGAAGCGCAGGAGGCGGAGGTTGAGGAGGTCTTTTCCCTGGAGGCGGTGCTGCCTGCTGGCTCCTCTTCGCTTAGTGGTTCCTCGATGTCCTTGTCGCCTTTCACCTGGGCCGCTACCGACGGGCTTGACGATGCCTTTTTCGAGAACCTCGGTTCTGCGCCTCCTTGGCCTGTTCTTGATGGAAGCTCTGGAGCAGTAGCCGGCAGTTCGTCAGGTTCTTGAGTGGTTCCCAGGTATTTTCGCTGTCTGGGTACCCTTTCCATTTGATCAAGTATCGCTGACCTTCTTGTTTCAGTATTTTTTCAACTTCGAAGACATCTTCTTCAAAGTTTTCCTGGTGGAAGGTTTCTTGTAATGGCGTTTCTGGGTCAGCTGGTTCAAGCTGAGAGACATGGAATGTCTGATGTTTTCTGGTGTCTGATGGCAGTGCAACTCTGTAGTTGACTGGTCCGGTCTGTCGAATGATCAAGAAGGGTCCGACTTTGACGTGGTCAAGCTTTTTGGATGGTCTCTTTGTGCCAAAGTTTTTTGTGAGCACATAGACTCTATCCCCCTCCTTTAGCTGAGGATTCTTCTTGAATGTGGACTCCTTGCTTTCCACTCTTGACTGCATCTTTGTGATAGATGTTGTCATGTCTTTGTAGGCATTTTGCAGCTTTCTAGCAATCTCAATGCCAGATGCTGCTTCAATGCTGGGCAGCTCTGCCTGCCACAGGTCTGGGTGCCTTCCATGGTTCGCCCAGAATGGGGTCTGGTGTGTTGTAGATGACATCTGATTGTTGATTGCAAGTTGAGCCATGGGAAGGTATGTCATCCAGTCATCTTGCTAGTAGTTGACAAAATGCCTGAGGTAGGCTTCCAAGGTCTGGTTTGACCTCTCAGTCTGTCCATCTGTTTGTGGGTGAAATGCTGTAGACATGGCATGTTTGGTTCCAACCTTAGCAACAAATGTCTTCCAAAGGTTGGATGTGAAGAGCTTGTCTCTGTCTGTCACAATCTTCCTAGGGAAGCCATGGATCCTGAAGACTCTGTCAATCAGTGTAGTTGCAGTTTGCTCCGCTGTGAAGTCTTTTCTGTATGGCAGGTAGTGGTTGTATTTTGTCAGCCTGTCAACTACGACCATGATGCTATTGTAGCATTTTCCGCTTGATTTGTCTGCTGATTCTGGCAGGTCTGTAATAAAATCCATAGTGATTTCTTGCCATGGCTGCTCTGGTGGCTTTGAGAACTGTATTGTGCCATAGGCTGCATGTCTTTCATTCTTGTTTTGTTTGCATAAGTTGCATTTCTTGATGTATTGTGTCACCTTTTCTTTCATCTTTGGAAAGGTGTATCGGCGCCGCAGCTGCTCGAGCGTCTTTTCGATGCCTGCGTGTCCGCTGACTGCGTCGTCGTGGTATCGCGAGATTATGTCGCATTCGAGGTCTGGGGGTATCCTGACCTTTTCATTCGCAGGATACCGCTCCTCTGTGTCTTCTGCGATGCTGATGATCGCGTTGATTTCGTGTACATTCGGTGAAAGGCTCCCATCTGAGTTTCGCCTCAGGATGGCCTGGTTGAATAGTGCTTTGTCTTTCATGTAGTCGGTTCTTCGGCTCAGAGCGTCAGCTCGGCCGTTGTCTTTGCCCGGCGTATAGCAGATTTTGAACTTGTACTGTCCAAGGTGCTCAGCCCACCGGACCTGCCGGCGGTTGAGCTCCTTCGTGGTAGTGAACGTGAGTAGGTTCTTGTGATCAGTAAAAACCGTGCAATCAGGCGCACTTGCCACGTAGATCCGCCATTGCTATAAGGCGTCCACGACTGCAAGCAATTCTTTATCGTGGATGTCGTAGTTTTGTTCTGCTGGGCTCATTTTCCTTGAGTAATATGCGATCGGCATTCGGTTGCCATTGTGCTCTTGCGTCAGGCATGCGCCGATAGCCAGGTCTGAAGCGTCTGTCTCAACCTGGACCGGCAGCTCGGGGTCGAACATCTTGAGTTCTCCTGCGTCTGCCATCCGTTGTTTGACGGTGTCAAATGCCTTCTGGCATGCCTCAGTCCATTCGTATAGTCGATCCTTCTTCGTAAGCGTGGTGAGAGGCGCTGCAATTGATGAGAATCCTTGGATGAACTTTCGGTTGTAGTTCGCGAGTCCTAGGAATGCTTGAACCTCTTTGACCGTGGTCGGTGTCGGCCAGTCTGTAATTGACTTCGTTTTCTTGGGATCAGGCCTGAATCCCTCAATGCTGATGATGTTCCCCAAGAACTCGACTTCTGTCCTGTGGAATTCGCATTTTTCTGGCGCGGTCCTGAAGTCTGACTCGGAGAGTCGTTTGAAGACTTCCTGAACGTCTTTGACGTGCTGTTCCTTGCTGCCCTTCGTGAAGATGAGGATATCATCCACGTAAGCGACAACGGTGACGTCGAGGAGGTCCCGGAGCAGATCGTTGATGCAACGTTGCTGCGTTGCCGGGGCGTTCGTAAGTCCCATAGGCATAACGAGGAACTCGTGAAGTCCTCTCGACGTAATGAACGCCGTCTTCCATTCTTCGCCTTCTTTCATTCGGATGGAGTAGAATGCGTCTCTCAGGTCGATCTTGGTGAACCATTTTGCTCCGTTCAGGCGATCGTGTAGTTCGCCAATGTTAGGTAAAGGGTAGCGGTCCTTGACAGTAATCTCGTTGAGTCGTCGATAGTCCGTAACGATCCTCATCTTACCGTTTTTCTTTGCTACTGCGAGGCACGGTGCTCCTGCCGGGGATTTGGAGGGTCTGACCCATCCTTTCGCCAGCATGTCATCGAGCCATGACTTTTCTGCCTTGATGTGATCTTCTGATTTGTGCCTAAGTCGCATGAATGGTGGTGTCGTGCCTGGTTCGAGCTTGATCTCGTGGTCCCAGGGTCGGTGTGGGGGAAGCTTTTTCATGTAGCTCCCCTCCGTGAACAGAAACTTCCACTGTTGGTATTCTAGTAGGATGTCGACCGTCGTCGCATCATCCGCTCGTGCCTCCGCAGGCCGTATATGTTGTGTGTTAGCCAGAACCTTCCCGTTCTGCCGTTTCGGCTCGCTCGCTCTGAATTCGAGTGTCCGCTTCTGCCAGTCGATCGTTGGGCAGGTTTTCATCAACCATGGGTAACCGAGTACGACGTCGTGCCTCGTGCGGGTGAGGACGTCGAATCGTGTTTCCTGCTGCAGCTGGCTGATTTTCAACGTGACTGGTGCCGTCTCGCGGTCTACCGTCGGGAGATCTCCTCCATCAATTGCCGTCAATTGATACTTGTTCTTCTTGCTCTGGGTAGCGATCCCGAGCGTCTTTACTAGTTCTTCCGAAATGAAGCTAGCGCTTGCTCCTGTATCCACGAGGGCCATAGTGGCTTGTCCATTGATTTCTACTAGGGTCTGAAAGACTCCTAGTCCGGTGGCCGTCGTGCTGTTGAGCTCTTTCGGATCTTCCTTATAGATCTTTACGTATCCAGGCGCTAGGCTCTGGTATCGTTTTGGTAGTCCCTCTCGGATTGGGATTTCCGGGTGGTCACGAATGCTAACCTTTCTCTTGTTCTTAGGTTTCTTCGGAAACCATCCGGCTCCGCTCTTGTCTATGAAGTGAATCACACAAGAGTCGTCGTAGCAGCCGGTCCAGCTCATCTCATTATGAGCTGGTTCTTTTGCCTTCTTCTTAGCCGTTGCAATTTCCATACTGTTGAACTGGCGTCGTTCCTTGTTGGGGCATTCCTTAGAGTAGTGTCCTTGCTTACCGCATGCATAGCAGGTCACGTCCTTTTGAATGTTATTAATCGTTCCGCGATGGACCTTGTTCTTAGCGCGGCAGTCTTTAGAGATATGACCTTGTTTACCGCAGGCATAACAGGTCATCTTCTTGCTATTATTAACTGATCGCTTTTGGAGATTGTCGATCTCCATTGCGTCAGGGTCGCGGGGTCTTGCCCGGAATCGTCCGATGTTTGGAGCGACTCGGAACGCTGGAACACGCACTGTCTTGTCATCGTACTTGCGTTCCAAGTGTCGTTCGTACAGCTGGTCTCCGATAGTGCTGGTTGCTTCAACCATTTGTCCTAGGGTCTCGATTCGTCCTCCGTATCTCATGAGTTCGTCTTTGACATCGTTTCGGAGTCCTTTGCGGTACATCTCCAGAAGTGCTGCATCGTTCCAGTCGAGGACGACGGCGAACTCCATGAACTTGGCGGCATAGTCGCGAACCGATCCTGTCTGCCTCTGGAGTTGGATCATTCGAGCAGCGTCGGTTACTTCGGTAGTGTTCCCGAACATCTGTTCGCATGCTTGGCGGAATTGAACCCAGGAATCGAGGATACCGCTTGTCTCGGTTCCTTCGAACTTCTGCTTAACAAACTTCTTGACCCATTGTTCGGCGCGGCCTCTGAGGTACATAGCAGCGAGCAAGGCTGCATCTTCGTTGGTAGGGGCCGGGTTGAATCGAAGGTACAGGTCGACTTGAAGAGCCCAATTGTCAAACTTGGCTCTGTCTCCGTAGAACAGGTCAGGTTTTGGAACCTTGACTTGTCCGGGTCGTGGAGCCGTTCCCAGGAACCCGGTCGTGGCTGTTCCTGGATTGTT